GCCCTCACATATATATATAAAAAGAAAAGAGTAAGTATCAATACTTATAAATACACAGTGACTCTATAAAAGATATTAGCTGATTTTATTATAAATCTTATATATATAAGACTTATCAATCTCAGAAGCACTGAATATAATTAATAATAATAATTATAATATCAGTATATTTCTTATCTGTGACCCAGAATCAAGTTAATCTGAATCCTGATAATATCTCTTATATAATATTTATCTAATATAAGCTTCTTGTAGTGCCCAGGAACCTCGGGCGCAGGCACCTAACCACTCGACCAAAAAGATCACACAACAGTAATAGCTACCACTATTACTAGCGCCCGAACTCTATATATAGCTATACCCCCGGGGAATACCGCTGTGGCATGACACTTCTTATTAATCTTCTTCTGATTATATTAACTTTTCTTGATATATCTAAAGAAGTACTAGTTACAAGTTCATTGAGAAAATATATTATCTGTATATCAAGAGAAAAAAACTATAAAGTATTGTAGTAACTTATATAGAAAGACTCAAATGAAGTAATATAAAATAAATATAGAGAAAGAGTAGAAACAGTGTATTATTTAAAAGAAATAAAACTCAGAGAAAAGAAATAATTAAAAGAAATAGAAGATATTGAATTTATATATTTTAAAGAGCAGAGAACTATTATCAATAAGATCATATAAGTAATTTATAGTGCATCATGGTGTTCATGATGGATGAGGGGAAGATAAGGTTGTTTATAAGGGAGAAATGGTGTTTAGCATCACATATTGAGGAATGGACTTAAAGAAAGGCAGCATCAAAAATGAGTGCACTCTGACTGGCCGCACCCCCATCTTACAGACTATAGAGGTATCAGGGAGATCCTGAGCTTGAATGGTACCCCTGGACTTATAGCTTACTCTTCCCACCAACGACCTTGACCAACGCCCGACCATTGCTCAACACAACCTTGCCCTGTCCGTTCTTAACGATAAACACCACCTCCTCAAATCCACCTTCAGATTTACCTGTCCTCCAGATCTGAGTGATCAGCTTAACACCGGGAATTACTGGGGACGCAAATCGCGCCTGGAACTCCTTGATATTTTTCGGATCGCTACCGCCCAAGGTCTTCAGGATTGCGTGTGCAGCCATGTTCCAGCTGAACAGGCCGTGGATAATAACACCACCGAATCCCATTTTCTGTCCTGGCTCCGGTGTTGCGTGGAGAGGGTTATAGTCTCCGTTCAAACTGTAGGCAGAGGATAATTTAGTTGGAAATTGTCACGATGTGTTGAAAGGCCTTGCCCGGATAGGCAAGAGAGCGGAATTGCCAAACATACCGGTAGAGCAGAGGTGTGTTCGCATCTGTCTGGAACTCATAGACGACATCTGGTTTCTTTCCCTGGGGAGGGGGATAATTCACCGTAGCGGGACCTATGCGCGGTGGGAGCAAGAAAAGAAAATCATTAGCCATCAGCTCATGATTTGCACGTATGTACGGAGTAAACCCAAACCTGCCCCATTAAACCTCCCCCAACCCCCCTTGCGCGTTTACCAAAACAAAAACAGAAAGGGGAGGGTGGTTTCAAGTTTATTTAATCACCTTTCGGTCCCCCCCAATTCCCCTGCCCAACGAAAAATCCACTCCCAACAGCCTTGGTATAGATTTCCCCAGTCTCCTTATCGACAATCTGTTGCTCCGTTTCGACAACTGAGCCCGCCTTGCCTTTGTCATAGACGCCAACGACCGAGCTTCGCAGTTCGAACTTGCGCCCCTCACTGGAGACGGGCAGGGGCTTGAGGAAGGTCATTTTACGCTGTCCGTCGACGACCCGGCGGCTGTCAAATGTGGGCACGCCGGGGATGACACTTCCGGATTTTTGAGAGTAGAAGTCGGTTACTTCTTGGTTTGTGAGTTTAAAAGCTATAGGTCATAGAGTAGTATATTAGTATATCTAATTCAGGCTTTTGGGTTCCTCGTTTCTTTTCGGTTTTTTTCTCATTTTCTTTTATCTTTGGCAAACTTGGACATACGGAGGATAATTGGGTATGTTGGGAATACGGTGAAGTTGGGATGCAATTCCTAAATGTTGGAGGAAAGAAGTCAGCAAAAACCGAGCCCTCAATGTCTTTTTTTTTCCTTTGTTGATTCCGATGAGAAGTTATATATTGGCAAACATACGTAGAGGAAATGAAGCTCGTCCGCTTTTGCCCCAATGCTGTTTGCGAAGAGAAGCACATCCCTCTTCGTCCAGCTGACATCCTGGCTTGGAAACTTGTGGCCGACTCCTGGTCCGCTCATTGTGATAATGATCTGGATGAGTATCTGATTGTAATAGTAGAAAAAACCCAGGCGACAAATAGTCAAATAGCTTTGAATTTGCGATATATGAAAACAAGTAATACAATTAAAGTACAATTAAAGAGGAGAGAGTTAAACGAGCTCCATATTTAGGTATTTAATAGGTGGTGCTCTCTGCGGGGGAATAGAGCAGCAAGCTCTTGCTTGTAGCCGTGGCTCAACTATGCCGAGGTTGTGGAGATCTGCTTCGCAGCGGCGATTTGGCGAGCGGTTCGCGGCATCGGTTACTTAGGTTGAAAAACTAACAGCAACCACTAACAGGGTGCAAATATTAATTAAATATGTATTCCCAATAGGGGAGCCTACAAGGACAAAAAAAAAAAAGTGCTGAATGAAGCCGTAAGATTAAGCATCAACTCGGGGTATCTCTAACAAACCGAGGAGCTTTAGAAATCATATCCTATATATCATTTTCCATATAATCGGACGCCACATTATGCCAATTCCCCCAAACGCCTGTGGTCCTATTTCTCTGGCCTTTTTACCTCGCTTTTTTCTTATAAAGTTGACATTTTCTTGCCTGATCAGAGATAAACGCGCGCGCAAGCGGCGTTACGGTGCTCTTTTTATGCTGCAATCCCATCCACGTCTAAGGCTACGCAGATGAGAAAGAAGAGAAAGAGGAAAAGAAGAAAAGTAACCAACGAAAAAGGAAAAAGAACAACAAAACAAAGAAAGATAATATGCAGAGCAAGAGATTCTTCGCAAGATAGCAAAAATATAAAGAGGTAAGTATGTTTGTATGTATTCAACACCTAAGTTAACAATTAGTATCTTACTTTTTGTCGCAAGTTTTACATTGGCTTTATTTAGACTGGGGTCGGGAGAGAAGAAAGGTGGAGCCGTACATTTTATACTCACAGCTGCCTTGTGCAGCACGCGTCTCATCTTCCGTCTCAAAGGTGTACGAGATTTTGATATCGAGATCCCGCTTGTTTTTATCGTTAGGTTTATTTTCCAGGAATCCGGTGACGGACTCATTCTCCTCAATGGTGAGCACTTCACGAATGTAAAACACGGTCTGCTTCCAGTGGGTGTATTTCGCATGGGGGCCGGTGGAGAATCGGATCTTCTTGTGACAGGCAGTGAAGTCAATATCGAACCAGGCAATGATGGCATGGATGAAATCGTTGCGTTTCGCGGTGAGTCTGAAGGGGACAGTGAATGCGAGGTCGGCAGCGGTGACTGTGTATAAATCGATGGTGAGGACGGGGCACGGGTCGGTGACCAGAGCCTTCAGCTCGACTGTGTCGACGAGAGGTTCGGTAAGGGCAACGTCTTTCATGGGGGAGTAGTTGAAGCCCCAGACATTGTCCCAAACTGTCAGAGAAAAACTGATTAGTATTGTCTGTGGGTGAATTCAATTCAGGACCCATGACGAAAACACATACATCCGATTTTATCATCTTTGTATTCACCATCCTCAATGGCAGCGAGGTAGACGGTAGCCTTGTCTGGGAAGATTTTTCCATCGGGGACGAGATAGTTGTCACGAGCATATAGAACAGTGTCAAGCATGGACTCGTAGAGAAGGAAGTATCCCATCCACTCAGATATAATGATATCGACTTTTGGGAAAGGGAGCTGCACTTCTTCCATCTTGCCCTGGAGAAGCGTGATCTTATCTGCCATGCCGTTTACTGCCACAATTTGACGAGCTTTCTCGATGATGGAGGACATGTCCACACCAATAACATGTTTGGCTCCTGCGCGAACGGCAAACCTAGAGAGATACCATGTATTAGAATAATGTGCTGAATTTTTATTTGGAACGTTATCTCGGCGACTTACATGCTAAGGATCCCAGTCCCGCATCCAACATCAAGCACTATCTTATCTTTAAAAAGATGACGGTTTTGGTAAATGGCATCTCTGTATGATCTTGTGCGAACATCGTCTTTCTATAAACAGAAGCAAAACAAAAATTAACATTTTCATTTTGTTCACCGTTTTCCGAGAAGTAACAGCTGCATATTATAAATATTGATTGGGCTCAATGTTAAACTTACAAGCATCTCCTCATGAATGCCTAATTTCGTGGTAATTGGCTATTGTCAGCTATGGGATTCGAGAAGAGTGGGATGCGGGTGAGAAGGCCATTTTATTTACCATGGTGGTCGTAACTAGCACAGAATGTATTAGATTGTGTTCAAGGGGAAATTGGATGCATTATAGAGAGTCATATACCTCGTAAAATAGCGAACCTCTGCGTGGTCCATGCCAGCCATCCTGTCTGCGCTGGACGGCAGTTGAGGGGTGGTGGCGGTGATTTCCATTTGATTTGAAGCTCCGTTCATGGTATCAAACGTAGGATATATACGAAGAAAACAAAAATACTCCAAAGGGAGAAATTAGTAACCTTAGGAAGAGGAGTATGAGAAGAAATCAGGCTGGGCGGATCCTGATAAGGTCGGGACAAGCCTTGCAAGAAAACTCACTCACAGCCCTAGCGAGAAAAAAAAATACAGCGGCTTTGGGTGAGGTTTAGATTTTCAAAGGGAGGTGAATGCGGACGCTAGGACCCAACAGGTTAGTGTCCAAGCGACAAATGTTTGGCGGGTGGATCTTGGGACTAGATCTGCCAGAGAGGGGCGCCAGATGCTGGCTCATTATGGTTGAGAGGCTGGGTTTTGCAGCAACTACTGGGCAATTAGCTCAGTTGGTAGAGCGTTCGCTTTGCATTATTCCAGCATGCGAAAGGTCGTGATTTCGATTATCACATTGTCCATAACTTTTTTGTATTTTTATTTTTATACTTGTTTGTATTTAGCAATTTTGACTTGATGTATTATTTTAATAATAATAATAATAATAATATTTTTTTTCAGGTTGGGTTCTCATTTTTGAAGGCAACGTTGGATTCTGAATAATGTTTTGATGTGTGTCCTATTTGACATGACGCCCCCCTGCGCTCTACACAGAATTTGACCGCCCTAGCTTCTGCAAATAATGCCGTTTCGAAGGCAGCACCTTTCCAGCAGGCCGCCCAACAACCATGGCTTCCACGATGAGTAGGGGGCCATTGTACTGGCGATTTCTTGTATTTACGATTTTGGTAATTTTAATTGGCAGGTCCACGGCGTCTCTGGGGGATATGCTCCCGGATTTCAAGGAGTGCGTGACGGTAAGCCATCTTCCAGACGAGCTTCCAGAAGGAGAGCCAGAAACAAACCACAAGGAATGCAATTCGTTAACGGTCATCGTTCCAAGTAGATATGCAAGACTGAAAATTGTGAGAATGGGAAGACATCTATACGTAAGGGGAAAGTTATTTAGACACCTTTCACACATTTAACTTTCATTCGACACTGACTCTTTTTATGTTTTGAAAGCTCTCTACCTCCGCGTTTTGTTCTGGGACTGCCCAGCAGAATGCGATTACACATGCCAACACATCATCACGGACCGCCGTGTCAACCGCGACCCGCCAATGCTCGATCCCATAGTCCAATTCCACGGCAAATGGCCCTTCTACCGAATACTAGGCATGCAGGAGCCCTTCTCCGTCCTCTTCTCCTTTATGAATCTCCTCGCGCACCACCAGGGGATTTCACGGGTTCGAGAGTTGATACCGCGATCGTACCCGATGCGCAGATTCTACCTTGCCTTTGGATATTTTGGTCTGGCCAGCTGGATCTTCAGCATGGTATTCCATACGCGCGATCTGCCCCTGACTGAAAAGCTGGATTACTTCGGTGCAGGTGCAAGTGTGCTGTATGGGCTATATCTCTCCGTTGTTCGAATATTTCGCCTCGACCAGACACGGCCCCGGTACAAGCCGACGCTTCTCCGGCACTGGACGTTCGCCTGCACGGTATTGTACATTGCACATGTCTCCTACCTGAGCTTCTGGTCGTGGAATTATACCTATAACATGGCAGCCAATGTTGCAGTGGGGATTGTACAGAATTTGTTGTGGACATGGTTTAGTATTTCGCGATACCGGAAGTACATGAAATCGTGGACCGCCTGGCCTGGCATGATAGTTGCGTGGATTATCATGGCCATGAGTCTGGAGCTGTTGGATTTTCCACCCTGGCATGGCCTGGTAGATGCCCATAGTCTATGGCATTTGGGGACGGTGGTACCTACAGCCTGGTGGTATTCGTAAGTTTTGCAATAACTCCTTTTCCATACTTCACGAAAATACATTGCGCACCCTAATGTTTGTGATTACTACGAAACTAGTTTCCTCGTCCGGGATGCTCAGGATGACATTGCTGGAGAGCGGTTGAAGGCTTAAATTATTTTTCATATTCAATTTTTCGCTGTAGCGTTATTCGGTTCGGTAATTATGAGAGGTATACATAGATATTTATATTGAGGATATATTGAAGACATTTTCGGCGGGGTCTCGGATTTATCGATTTTTTGGAAGTTTTATGCACTCTAGTGGTGGAGCCGGTTCTACTTCTGCTCTTGTTCGTTGCCAATGAACGGTGCAAATTTTTGTGATATCTTTCTCATCTCCAGACATGCAAGCAATTACTGTTTTTGCTCTCTTGCACCTCAAAATTGTTGCTCTCTCACATCTTTCATCTGCCACCAGATGTATCCCGCTCGCCCTTTTTTGTTGCATCCTTTATTGTATACATCTCCCAACATGTGTGCGGTTGGGTGGATCCTGCTAACTGACAAACACAGCAAACTTGCTTTCTGCCCTCGCTCGGGTCTTGGCAGTCCAAGCCTTCTTCAGCCGCCCGTTCGCTGCAGTCAGCCACAACCATCACCAACTCCCACCAGGGCCACCAACCATTTGGCGAGCAACTGACTAACTCACTAAGTAAATGCCCGCATCCCCCTCTTCTCTATTATATAAAGCCCCTCCTTTCCTACCACGCACCAGCCATTTACGGTGACCTCACCCTCAGCATATAATTCTTTATTCACCAATTTCCTAATCACCATGGCATCTCCAATGGTCAAACAAGCCATTGTCGATGCTGCAGCCGCCTACACCAAGCCTGAAGGCAAGGTGTTCGAGTATGGCACAGCAGGGGTGAGTTTCTACCTGTTTCAGTCTTGCAATAGCCTTGATAGGGATGATATTCTGATTGATAATTTGCCATGCAGTTTCGCATGAAAGCGTAAGATCCTATGATGCTCTCTATTTGCTCCTATCCACCACTCCTCCGCCAGTTTTGGCCTATATTTTTCTTCTTCTCTTTGTACCCTTCTCTTCTCATGGCCTTTTTTTTTTCCGCCGCAGCTCGAATGACCTAATTAGAGATTCTTGCTTATGTCCCTGTGACAAACCAGGGATATCCTCAATACCGTTGTTTTCGCAGTCGGACTTTTAGCTGGACTTCGTTCGAGAAAACTCAATGGACAATATATTGGTGTAATGATCACTGCCAGTCACAACCCTGCTGAGGACAATGGTATCAAACTTGTGGACCCAATGGTACGTCGTGCCCTATTCCATTGTTCGGGGTTTGGCTCAAAGTACTGACGATCTTTGATTTTTAGGGTGAGATGTTGGAGGTAAGTGCTGTACCTAACTCCCTCCCCTTTGTTGATCTGTTGGCTTATTCACCCTAAACCACTACTTTACAGGCGGATTGGGAAAAATACGCAACCCGATTGGCAAATGTACCGCTTGAAGCATTGGGAGATGTATACAATAGCCTTATCAACGAGATCGAGGTCAAGATGGAGAACCCTGCCCGCGTGATATTCGCCAGGGATACTCGTGCCTCAGGCTCACGCCTTGTGGGGGTGATATCTGCTGCGCTCAGAGCGTCCGAGGTTGAGTTTGAAGATTTCAAATATTTGACCACGCCCCAGCTTCATTATATTGTCCGCTGCAAGAATACGCTGGGAACACCCTATGAATATGGTGAACCCACTGAGAAGGGGTATTATGAGAAGCTCAGCGGAGCATTTAAAAGAGTGATGAAGGGACGCACCACGTCCGGGGCAGTGACTGTTGACTGCGCTAATGGTGTTGGAGGCCCGAAACTTAGAGAGCTGATCAAGTATTTACCCAGCGCTCAGGAAGGTGGCGTGGATATCAACGTTGTTAACGACAATGTGATCAATCCAGATAGCTTGAACTTTGAGGTAAGCGAAATGTATATTTATTTTTGTGTGTTGATGGCTGACAATGGCATTTTGTGTCCAGTGTGGTGCGGATTTTGTGAAAACGAAACAACGTGCCCCGCCATCTTCTAAAGCTTCAACTCATGACCGCTGCGCTTCACTAGATGGTGATGCAGATCGATTAGTGTACTATTATCTCGACACGGGCAATGTTTTCAAGCTCCTTGACGGCGACAGAATTGCAACTCTAGCTGCCGCCTTTATTGGAGAATTAACCAGGAATGCTGGTATAGGAAACAAACTCAAGATTGGCGTTGTTCAGACAGCATATGCGAACGGTTCGAGTACGGAATACATAGAAAAAGTCCTCAAACTCCCCGTCATTTGCACACCCACTGGAGTAAAGCATCTCCACCACGCCGCCATGAGATTTGACGTAGGCGTCTATTTTGAAGCCAACGGGCACGGAACCGTAACTTTCTCGGAGCATGCCCTCAAAACCATTAGATCCACCGAGCCACAATCCCCAGCACAACAGTACGCTTTGGAAAGCCTTATTGCCCTAACCGATTTGATAAATCAAGCGGTTGGAGATGCTCTTTCGGATCTACTCCTGGTCGAGGTGATCCTAGCACACAAAAGCTGGAGCCTCAAGGAATGGATATCAACATATACAGACCTCCCGTCCCGCCTCGTACGCATCGAGGTGGCCGATCGATCAATATTCAAAACCACCGACGCTGAGCGGAAGCTTGAATCGCCAGCGGGCCTGCAAGCGCGTATCGACGCGCTCCAATCACGCTATAACAAAGGTCGGAGTTTTGCACGTGCCAGCGGAACGGAGGATGCAGTTCGAGTGTACGCAGAAGCTGCGACTCGGTCTGAAGCGGACGACCTTGCTACTCGGGTCGCAAGCTCTGTGCAAGATGCTGGCAAGATAGCCAAGACTTTGCAATAGAGAACAAAAAAAAAGGGAAGCATAAGAGATAAAAGATATAAAAAGGGCAAAAACAAAGCAATGATTATCGCATTTCCCATACCATACGCATAGATAATTGTCGATACCCCACGTCGTTCCGCACTTCGACTGCTTGTTACTGCTATTTCGGGTGGACATGAGATACCAATGCAAAAAAACAGAAGACACCTGCCATCTGCCTGGGTTTCTTGGGGTCGTAAAGATTATGGCGAGAGAGAGTTTATTCCACCCCCCCCACTTTTTTTTGCGTATGGTAAAATCGGGTCTCTATTACGACTCACTCACTTTGGCACATTTATATAATTGTTTTATAAGAAAAACTCCGGATTCGATGAATTTGTGTTTTCTTTTTAGGCTTTTGCCATCCCATGTTTCTGAAAAGGAGCTTAAAAATTGAGACCAACTTAAGTGAGAATCATTAATTGAATGAAATGAAAAAATGAAAAGAATCAGATAGATCACTCAGACAAAACTTTGTAAAATTTCCTTCTGCGCTCTCTCTACTGCTTCTATGCGCGTGGCTAGTTATTGTGCACAGCGTGGTTTATTTTTGACCACCCAAACCTGAAGTCGAAAGTAAGAAGCATTCTCTATACAAAGGGCAACAGGCAGAGTAAGAGTCACATACAGACACCGTATAGATTAATTTTTTGATTTTAATGATATAACACTCAATAGAACACCGCCTATCCTTCCTCACGATCCAT